AAGTTTTCTTTGGATTCGAAATGTTGGGTGGTTCCCAGGCCCCCCCTTTTTCGGGGGGGAGGGGAGGTCCACCTTGGGGGGGAAAAGTTTTTCAGAAACCCGAAAAACGGGAAAGCCGGGGAGGAGACCAAGTAAATAAAGCCAAAAAGACCCCACCATTTGCTGTTTTAGTCCACTTTTTTTTGGACAATTTTGAAAAGACAAATTCCCAAAAATTTCAGCGGCCAACATTTCCTTTTTTTGGGGGGCCAAAAACTTTTTTTTTTTTTTAAAAATCCCCCCCCCCCACCCCCTCCCAACCCCCCCCCCCCGGTGTTTACCATCGGGGTTGGGTTTTCGTCGCTTGGCAACGACGTTGTAAAACAAGCCCCCCGCTCGGTGTTTGCCATCGGGATTGGGTTTTCGTCGCTTGGCAACGACGTTGTAAAACAAGCCAATTCACTTCGTGAACTCGGCAACCAGGTTACCGTTTTTTTTTTTTTCTACGTCGTTTTTTTTTTGGCGGTAACCATAATGGTGGTCGAGTAGATCATGTTGTGCGGGGTGGAGAACCCTCACTCCGCGCAACGGGGGATGATCGCACCACGTTGTGTTAATATTGGTCAAGCACCCTCGAGGCAGTTACACAGTGCTTACAACTGTCTCTGGAAGTAAAAGCACCAGAAAATAAATTAGGTCATACGTAGCTGTCATCCGTACGCAAGGAAGTAAGCACAAGATGCCGAACACCCTTAGCAGGATGCAGCTCACCCTTCATGCGACTCGCCAAATACCTCACGGTGCTTCGCGCTTGGTGATGTGAGAGCCTGGTCCGGTGAGAACCCGGCGTGCTCCGTCCCGGCTTTGTAGGGATGCGAGGTCAATGGTCTAATGACTACGGCATGCACGACTATGAGTACACCCACCCCCTCCCAACGATGCCCATCCCCACGAATTTCTGAAAAGGATGGCGAAACCCCTACCGGGGAGGAAGCAGGGGAGCAACACCCAGCGGCGGCAGAAGCGGCCGGAGGAATGACAAACATCAAGGACCTCCGTTCGACGCTCTTCTCCCTCTGCGGAGACTTGTCGGTTAGTGGTCTGATTTGTGGCGGTTTTAGGTGGTGTGCATTCCATGGGATATTCCATGGGACGCAAGAGAATGTCACCACGGTATTGTGTACATTCTATGGGAAGCAAGAGAATGTCACCACGGTATGTTTGTGTCTGTGTTCCAGGGATAGGATGGTGAGGGTTATCAAGAACCTTCGGTGAACGCTGTTCTTCCTCTGCGGAGACTTGTCGGGTACCGTAAGGATGCTAGAGAACGCACGGGGGTGTCAGCGTTTTTCATAGCGTGATTTCTCTACAACCAGGAGGGTAGGGTATGTACCACTGCCGACAGTGGTGGTCTTGGAATTATCACGTCGAGGGCTTTCCTGAGAGGTATCGGTTGGTGTTGGCACCCTCCTGTCGTGGAACAATCAAGCTTTGATAAACGCTAACACCCCCCGTGCGTTCCCTCGCATCCTTATATGGTGAGTGGTTTATTGGTTGCAGGTTTAGGTGGTGCACCTTTAGTGGATTCACGGCGCGGCATGTACTCGGTACGTGTTCCAGCGAGATGCTCTTGGGGGATACGAAGGGCCTACGACGATTTTCCTCCCTCTGCAGATATTTGTTCGTCTGAATAGCTTCTTTTCGTTCTCGACCGACATCCTTATCTTATCCCTTCCTTCTTGTCCCACCGTCCCATCCCTCCCCCTAGACGTTGGCCCTATGCCCCCAGCTGGAAGAGTTCCGCGACCAGATCGCGGAGATAGAAGAAGAAACTCACAAGGACAGCGGCGAAGGTGAAGTGACAGGCACCTCCGGCTTTCAGCCTGTATCTCCTTTCCTGTTGACGGAGTCGAGGATGGAATTGTGAATGTTGGGATCAGTATTGTGGTGCTGATTCAGGACGTCGGTGTGTGTTTTTGACGTCTTTTTTTTTTTCTTTCTCGTGTCTTGACTGGAAATCAGCTCTCACGTCAATTTTGCCGTTTACTCCAAATTGGTCGCGCAGATGCTCATCGGGGCGAAACATAATTTGTTAACATCAAATAAACACTGCATGGGGAGACATGAAGTCTTCAAGACACCTTGCCCGCCTGAAGGGCGCATTATTTGAACAGCAACGCTGAGTGTGAGGGCCCTTAAAAAGCAGGACGATTGTATACATTCACCAGCAGCAACGCTTCACGAATACACCCGCCAACGAGATTGTCCTCCCTTCACACAGCAGCCGCTCCGCGTGCCGGAAGGGGAGGGGCGCGTGGTGATGGTGCGGCGGTAAGCTACGACACAGACGACTCTGACGGAGGAGGCGGGGGGGGAGGTTTCGACAACGTCCCCGGGTTGGACGACGCCTCTGTGGATGGCGGGGGAGATTTCGGGGGAGGCGGTGATGACGGGGGGCATGACTTCAACCTCGGTGGTGGTGGTGCTGATGACGACGATGCGTGAGTGGAGAATAGCTGCGTTGCTGTCTCTAATGTTTTTTTTGCTAACAGCGTTGGTTGAGGTTGGGCACCGGCGTGCCGTGGGTTTTGCTGGAGGACAACCTCGGTGTTGGTTCTGATGTTGGCGTGCGGGGGCATTGTCTTTGTCTCTGCGATTTGTTTTTTCAGCGCTATGGTGCCGATGGTTTTGCTGGTACAGCAATCATTCCGACAGAGTGGCAACTTGAAAAGTGGAACTGGCGATGTAGTGTAGTGGCATCAAAATCTCTTGTCATAATCTCAACATGTACATGAACACGATATTTCCAATGGCGGCACTGCCCTGAATAGTGGCACATTTTCCTCTTGCCCCTACAAGCCACTATATCGGGCTGCTTACTGTAGGTGTGACGCCGTGATGTACATCTTTTCATAAGTATATACTTCTATAACACCGGGGAAATACTAATACTGCCCGCACTCGTGATTATATATTGTATATGTACCTCGTTCGAAGCGTATACACGTACCTCGTTCGAAGCGACGTATGCATGTTGTACGTGTTGGAAATCTGTGCACCAGCGACGGATCCCCTCCCACCGATAACTCGTTTCTTACCTCTCGGTCCGTGAGAATTCGAATGGCTGTTTCGTCATCGGCGTTTTGGGCCGCGCTGTTGCAATAGCGTTAGCGGTAGCAGGGCGACACCCCTCATTTTGGTCTTTCCCAATTCAGCATACAAAGTATCATACATTTGTTTTTTGCACCAGCGCCTTTTTCCTTGTCATGACTCCACCGCCATTCACGAAAGAGAGAAAATCTACAATCTACATGGTATGCACAGACGCATTGGTTATTGTACTTTTGGTTTCCAATTATTTCGGTGAGTACACGTTGCTCAGTTGTTATCCTGGCGGGCACCGCCATCGTGCACGCATCAATTTTCGGGCGTCAAATATTGTCCAGTAGCCTTCGTAGGTGTTTTCTACTATTGTATTATATGTGCAAGTAAACATGTTGGATAAAGGATACAATCGGGGAAGTTGCGGTAGGGTTGGGGGTAGGCTTCTGCGGGCCCCCTCCCTGTTTTATTTTTTCCTCATAAACATAATTTCTCGCGAAGGCGGTCCCTCTGGTCGCCTTACCCCTCACCCCCCCCCCCCCCCCCCCCAAAAAACACATTTGGGGGGGGCCCCCC